CAAACAGCAATTGAAATTCGATATTTGGTTTTATTATTCTTATCATTTGCGTTTGTTGTAGTTTTATTGGGTATCTTTGTTTCCTAAACACATTTATGGATGATATTTGTTGAATACGTTGACATTATAAAAATCGCTTGAAGTTTATATATATTATTCTATTGGTTATTATAATTATTTCTTGTCTCAATAATTTAGGGTGCCACGTTTTGAATGATATTAATTTCAATAGATTGTTCATGATTGACATAGTAGTTTGATAACTTATTGAATACTGTGTATTTTTTGACCTGTTCGATATTTACTGTATAATGATTGTTTCCTGACAATATCGTATCAAGAAAATTATTGGTATCGATTCTTGCACATTTACATAACTGAATCTAATGTTAGTTTTATTTTTATGAAGATGATTATTACATGATTCGACATGTTCTCGATCAATTATTATTTTTATAAAAATGTCATCGACATACCTTCAGAATTTAAAAGGTAAATTAGCTTTTTCTGGATTTTTCTTCATGTATTCATCATTGTTAAGTATAGCTAGAATGGATAATAAAATATTACCTATAGTTAAACGTTATTTTTGTTTATAATAATTTACATGGAACTGGTAGTAATTTCTGTCTAAAGATAATAATAGTATTTATTTTATGTTTGTTTTAGTCAAGATTATTGGACAGAAATTTTCGGAATTACCTATTATATTTATAGCTATCTGAACAGCGCTTGTTTCAGGTATGTTCGTAAATAATTTTGTGCATATGAACAATGTAAAATGTTCATTTTTGTCTATTTTGATTTTAGATGTTTTATGGATGAATTTGGGGGTGATATATTGAATTTTCGATGGTTCCTCTGAACTGCGGAATCAATGAGAATGCATATCTGGATGCAGGTAACAAAATTGTATTTCTTGTACTTATAGTTAATCACATCGGACAATCTTCTTTATGTTCTTAGAGCATATCAATGGTAGTGTCGTCATAATATTTTTTTCAATAAAGGATTGTTGAAGACATTTTCTTCTTTTATATAAGAGTAGTGAAAGCAACGCTGTATTTTTCTGTGCTATTTGATCACTATGGAACTAATATCTTAGTAATAAAAGTACGATAAGAACTGTTTTTCTGTAAAATGTAACGGCTGTACTAATACTATTTGACAAAAGGTCCAGTGAGTATTTTCTGAATAACTTCATAGGAACAAGATAGAGAATTGATGTTTTCACCTTTCTAAAGAAAAAATAAAGATGCATAGAATTGTGTGCTTCAAAAATTTCGGTCTTATTTTTTTGATTTTTCAATCAACTTCTTTGAAAATAAATCCATTACGCGAGGTGCGCATGACGAGTTCTTAAGTGTCAAGTGTATATTCAAATCGTCAAAGAAAGATCTACAAAACCGCGTAAGGTTGTTATGTTTGAAATTAATTTCTCAGATATCATAGGTATCTTAGTTGAAGCTGTCAGTGATTTATCTAGAAAATTCTATGACAAAAAGTGTTTGTGATGTTTGTGTTTTAATAAAAAAGCATTTTTTTTGACATTTAGAAAATTAATTAAACAAATCTTAGATAACATATTTAGAAAACCTATAAAACGCAATTCGATGCAGAGATAAAAAAATCATCCCGCGCCACTTCTCATCGCTGCTCACGCCTAGGCTACATTAGTGTGAACTTCGAGGTACGCGTGCTCACAGCTTTCCGATTTCCGGTAAACTTTGGGAAAATGATGTGCAGAGCAAAAAGAGAAGGAGGTATGCGTAGTGCGTAGGTGCGAGCAGTGGCACGGGGCGATTTTTTCCATGTCTGCAATATTCATCCTTTTCTGTCATTCGAATCAACATTCAAACATATGAATTTTGACTTTTATCATTGTGTTCATTAAAAATGCGTTTTTTTCCTATAATTTGTCATGTTATTTAACTGCATTGCTTTAGGAATTACACTTTCTTGATTGTATTCGTTTAAAAACATGTAATACTGCTTTATTTTCATAAATCGTTGGCGTCATTTTTCCAAGTTTACCACGATGGCATAAACTCTCTTTTTATGGAGGTTATCAAATCCATTTCGTTCAATTTGGAACGATATATTAGTTTATTGAATATGTTCACTCTTTGCTTTATTTATTTATTATTTTCCTCTCTCTTTATTCGAAAATTAAAATAAAACAGAAACAACGAACTTTATCTAATGATAATATTTATATAATAACTGTTTTAACTACTCACAGCGAGCAAGATCGAATGCACAATTTTTCTGTTTATTGATCGAATAGTTGCCACCTCAATAGAATAATACGATTTAGCAATCGGACTGACTTTAATATTACGATTATTCGCTTGGTAATTTATTGAATTTTTATTAGACAAAAAAAATACAATAGTGTAATTATTCAGTTTTTGATTATTTCGGAAAAAAAGCACCTGCTTTCAATAGCAATACCGAACAAGGCTTCTTTTTTTCTCTTATTTTCACCTTTAATAAAACTTTGGTCGAAAGTACACCTCTTGATAAATGTGTTTGAAATATTGCCCATATAGGCAATTTATTTGTAAATCATATTGAAAGAATGCTTGAACAAAAAACCTTTTGTATTAATTTACATTTGTTTGCGTCATCTTCTCTTCAACAACAGAGAATTTTCTAGTGTTTATGAGTAATACTCAAAATAAAACATTTAATAAATGGAATTCGAGTTATTTTTATGAATGGTTACCAAAATAGTATTTAAGTCAGATAAAAACTTTTCACACAAAGAAAATCTGTTTGATCAATAATTGAAAAGTATGAGTTTTATTCTCTATTACTGGTTCTATATTTCAGTTTGCGATTCGACAAAATAAGAATCAGTACTATAAAAGTAATTTATGTTCTAGATTATATAAACTATGATGGATTTATTCAACAAGAAATAAATTCAAAAGAAATTGAATTTCACATTTGAATAGGTTCTTAAAATCCTTATCTTAAAGTTAATAAATAAACTTTAGTCTCGGATAGATAAATAAATAGAATTGTCGATTAGTTCATTTATGTCATAGTTTGATGATCAAAGTGTCGATCAATAAATACTATGATCAATCAGTAATTTTATGGTGAAGAGTTACATGATAAACAGCAAAGTTTTCATCAAAAATAAACTGTAATAATGGTACTATATAAGGAAATGCTATTCTAATTATGTAACGATACTTTTGTTTGAAGAAGGAAATGGGATACATTATGAAGAAATGATTTAATGTACGATATCAGTCTTATGATATTTTCTTTTGAGTAAATAATAAACTAAATGGAAAACTTCATTGTAAGTATTAGACTTTTTAAATAATCAATTCTGTCTTCGTGTGATGAATAAGATATGATTAAGTACCTATTACAACTCATTCTTTAAAAAAAACAGGATATAAATTATACTTACATGAAACAAAATATTCTAGGAATATCGATTTTCCATATATTGTCGAAATGTTATTAATCACATCAAATGAAGGTCAAACAAGATAATGGTATTAGGAATTTTAGTTTTTGTGTCAAAACTTCAGAAAATGGATATAAGCCTAAACAGTCTCATATTGTACAATTGTCGACAAAAATTTTTCGTTCGGTTTTTAAATGCAATTATTTTTCTTTGCAAATATTTCGAAACAAGATATGGACTACGCCTTTTGGCCAATGAAACTTTCCAGAGGAAAAGTTGTGTTAAGCAATTCGCCTACTTTACCATAGATATAATATGGCACACCTGTCAACTCTCTATCTTCATATTTGTTTATTTTGAATTACGACATTACATCATTCAAATAACACTCTCAAAAAAAGCAATAATCTTCAAAAAACAAGTAGCCAACATTTTTGCCAAAGAAACTTTTATCAAGAGGATATTCTTCAATGATACAAGTTAAGGTATATATTGACATAAGTAGGATGAACTTTTGCAAACTATCATGAAACAATATTGATATCATTAGGAAAATTGTAAGAACGGAAGCTAGCATTGCTAGAATATATATCATAGATAACACTCATCGATCTAATTAATAGAAATGTTTTCATTTAGATCCTATTCATAGGATGTGGGTGTGGCTTCTTCACACCTACATCCGTTCTACAGTTGGAACTGATTTCTCGTTAGTCTAGAAAACCTAGACAAGTTGCTTCATAAAAAGTTTTCTTTTAAAAAGTCTTATTCACCAAAGAGTAGCTGCTGTTTTTTTTAAAATTTATCCGTAAGGATTCGGCTTTATTTTCTAAACATTTTTAGAGAAAATCATATGCAAAAGTAATTCCTTCGAACTGTAACAAATGTAGTTCAAGTACGATTAAATTTTCTGAGCTCAATTTTTCGTGTAGATCTACTACAGGATGTGTAATGATATTTTTGCACGAGGTAACTCACAGATTTCCTATAATATCAATAAGAAGTTTTGTACCAAACTAAAGCGTATCGAAAATAGGGTTCATCTATACTGAATAAATAAATATTAGAGCAAATTTTCAGTGTCGAATTCAGAAAATTTCTAAATTTTTATGCCAAATTAGCAGAGAAAAATTCCGTTCGTAAGGTAGTTCATTCAAAATGATGAATATCAAAAAGTAATATTTATTTCTTAAGGCTTGATACACATAATCAATAATTCGTATAAGTAATTATAACGATCATTAGCAATTTTACAGCAGGAAGATGAGATGGATACTAGCATAATCTGATTTCAAGGAGTTCAATGTTTATTTTCATGCTTGTCAAAACATATTTCGAATGTTTCCCAGAGTTTGATCATCAAAATGATTGCGTGTTGTGCCTGATGGTCATTCTTTTCAGCTTCATTTTTGTTGATTATTCCAATATTTCCTAGTCTACTGCTCAGTACTTTTTGATATTTATTATTTCCGAATGAGATCCAGTTTGAATTACCTTACAAAATGAACTTTTTCTGCTGATTAGGCGTATAACTTTATGAGTTTTCTGAACTCGACGAAGAAAACTTGCTCTAACGTTGACTATTAAGAATTGATGAATTCCATTTTCGACGTTCCTTCATTCGATAGAAAATTTGTTTTTGATAGTATTTAAAATCATAGTGTTACTTTCTTAAAGATTTATTTTTACATATTCACATCCAGACAATCGGTGTACTATTCGCAAAAACCGCGTATCAAAAGATGATAGCTTTTTCATGGAGCTATATTTAAAACAACATCGTGCAAAAATTATTGTCCACTACTATAGTTTTAATAAGAATTAATATTTAAGATGATGATAGTGTCGAAAAGAGTTTCTGACTTTTATGCTCACAAAATTAAGTGTGAATTGAGTTCATAAACTATTTGAGATTGATTCAAACGAATGCTACCACAAATTTGTATTTATAAATGACATATTCGAGAGATTAATTTTTACATTGAACGAAGAAAAAGAACTTATTTTTTGCATTTACAACTAATTTTCATTTTGGTAAACAAAACAAAGCTTATTTTCCTTTCATATTGATTGATTAGTCGATAATAAAGAAAAAAAACTACAAAAGAAGAAAGAAGAAATATTTTTCACCATAAACCAAAATCAAATAAAATCATGTTGTGCAATAACGTGCATTACACATGCTCAAAGGTGGCAAAAAATAAACATAAAAACTGTTACAATACACAACTGCAATGGAAGACCAGAATACACAGCTATAGCTCGGTCCGTCGAAACATGCATTCCCTCTAACTATTGTTCCTACTATTGATGATGATGTTCCATTATACCATCCTGCTAGAAAAGCACCACAATGATATATTCCTGGTGGTGTCAGAGGTATGGTAGTACCTCCTGTACCGATAAATCGAATCCATCTGCCACCAATACTTGTATTAAATAAGGGACCATTATCACATGAACCACCTATTCCAGATGTAGCTATACTGCGCAAAGGATCGTTAACAACTGTATATGATGAACAAGGTGGATCATTACTAGTGCCACCATTACCAACATCATAGATTGTTGATGTTGTCAGCGTTGGTATTCTTGTACCTAAACATCCATCAATTAAATCAATGTATTACTAGAAAATTATTTTTTCACTTGAATATAAACTTGTTTTTGATGTGTTGTTTTCGTTTGTTGTCGAATGAGAATCGACAACAGTAAATTTTATAATAATCAATACAATTATTACTGTAATGAGTAGAGTGATGACACTGAACACAATGATTTTTCTTCGTGTAATATTAAATTGTTCGATAAAATTTCTTGGTGATCTTTGAGATTGAAAAAAGCAAAGAAGAGATGTATTCTTGAAAATATTTCTAATTAAATCCTACGTCGAAGCTAATGACTTTGGTTGTATATATTTATCTGATGGTGTTGAGACTGTTTTAGAAGACGGATCAATTGTATGTGATTCTTGACGCCATGTTGTTGATGCAGTAGTGTTTTCATCAGCTTGCTGTTGAGAATTTCAAACAATTTTCTATTCATTATGAATTAAAATGAAATACTAATTTTCCCTACTTGATGTTCAACGTCAATATTAAGATATGATGAATTTAGTTCAATTGAAACTTCTGTCATTGTACTGTATTTAAAAGAAAAATTCAATTATTCAATTTTATACTTAGATCTTTTTATTAAAAAAAAAAGGTATCGATCGAAATGATTGTATATTTTTATTAGAATTCTTGTTTAGTTTGTAAGAATAGCCAAACAGCCATTTATTTCTGCGATTGAAGCAACATTTCTAGATATCCGATTTGTATGTAATTATGTTGAAAAAAATCTAGTCACATAAAAAAAAAGTTTCTTTTATTGATTTATTCGTCCTATATTAGTCTTCTTCCACCGTACAAAACAATCTATTGTATGTTACAATAGCCGAGAAAACTTTCTTTCATTATAATAACATGCAAATGTTATGAAATGAATTCAAAGATACTTTTGTGTTGTTGTAAGAAAATTTTTTTTAATACCTATTCATTCGCGAAGATATTACTTCATTAAGCCTTCTCTTTTCCTCAGGAAAAACCACGTTTGATTAAATTTATCGATTTTGTAATTTATAGCTCATTAGAGAGAGTACGATATCTAATTTACGAATTTTATAAGAAGATTTAGCAATACTAAATCTACGTTGGCAGAGTAAATAATCAAAGATTTTTCACTCTTATTTCATCAATGTAAAATAGACTATGAATCACTGTTTACTTTTTTTGTTTTTGCTAAAATTTTCTTCATCACATTTTTAATCATGATAAATATAATATATTTTGAAATGTTTTAGATTATTTGAAAATATTGTTTCTACATAATATTTATTGATGTAGATGAATTTTTAGTTTTTTTATGTTATTTTTGTTGAGACTCTGATAAGCGTAATAAAGTCTTGAAACTTCTTTTACGTTTTCTTCACAATAGGATTTTTTATTTTGATGTTTTCATGTGTCTTAGATTTCTCCACCATTTCTAACGCTAGAAAGATGAGTTTGGTGTCAAAATGAAGGCAAATATCAGTTCTACAACTTAACAGAGTCGAATTTTTCGATCTGTTCTGTAATGATTACGAAAAACTAACCGTTCTGGATCTACACTCTGTGATATTTTTTGTACTTTACGCCAAAGGAATTTTCGAGAAACACAAACCAGGAAAAAATATAAAAATCAGGTTCTACTGGGTTATAGCACCACATCTCGCCTACATTTTAAAACTAATTCTAACTTTCTAAGATTTGAAACCGCAAAAATATTTGAGACGCACAGACACCTGTATTTTAACTCATAATCTGAAGCTAATTCCTCGTAGAATCTATGTATCCAACTGAAAATTTTACTAAGAGATTCCATGCTAGAGATGTATCTATACCGGAAATTTCGTCAATATCGGATGTTCAAGAAAAACATTGTTTTTTTCTTACGAGGGGACCGTTACTGAAACAACTGTATAAACAGTAAGAATATGCCTACAGCAATACCAGATAATACATCAAACATAATATTTATTGTGTTAAAAAGACAAATTTTCATTGTTTTGCTCGCTACCAATTGTCTGCTGGTTTGAAGAAACGTAAAATTTGAAAGAATCGATTGAATTTCAGCATCAACCAATACATATAGCTTTTAACATATTGGAAGTAATTGAAAAAAAGAAAACAAAGGGTTGTTGACTGCTATGGCTGCTTTATCAGCAATAACATGTTCGTTTCTTCCTTTATTGAAAGCATATCGTATTATGTTCCTTTTGCATTGTCTAAATGATTTATTAATAATTTTGGTGAAATTCAAGTATAAGAATGAGTTTTTGTTTATCAAAAAAAACAGTGTTTTTATTTTTCTTAGTTAATCGATATATACCTGTTAGAAAATTATTTATTTATAGACTAGAAAAAAACAATAGATTTAATACTAGTATCAACTTCATAATTGAATAGTATGCGTACGATGAATATTTCAATAATGCAGACAACAAATAATCTTCAATTTGCAGTAACTTAAAAAAATTTGGCTCAATTCATAATTAATCATCTCTCCTTCAGGTTGAACTTTAGAGTTAAATATACATATTAGACAATAAAATTTCAGTTTTATAAAAGTAGATACTCACTCGAATACCTTCCGGTGTCTAGCAATCGGATCAGGTTCCTGGAGTCCGACCCAGCTTGAATCATGCATCCGGATATGAGATCATACCTAGACCAAACCTGGAATTTCATAAGATCTTGACATTTTATAATAATGTTACTTTTTCAAACTGCTAATTTATATAAAAGCATAGGAATGAAAACCAAAGATACCAAACGAATCCTGAATCACTTGCTTCATTGTAGAATTTCAGATGATCTCTTTTTTGTTTTGTTGCTGTTTATGGAAGAAACTAAATGGTATACTTTTTTTCATATGAAACGAATCTTTAAAAAACCATACTGTGACTGCAAAAGTATCTCCATATATGTCAATGAATTCTGATCCGAGCACGACATTCAATGCTACAGCGAATTACTTCACTTTTGTTTTTAACCCATCATGAATAATAAACCTTATTGAAGATTCTGTTTTTTTCAATACATAAGTATATATTAGAAAAAAAAACTTGATTTAGATTGCAAGACAGACAATTGTGTGCAAGTTTATTGAATAATTCAAAAAGAAGAGAAAAAAACAAAGAATTTTCCATTCATCGTACTTAAAGGAAAAGAGACAATATGTGTAAATAAATGAGTATATATTAAACGAGAATGGTCTATGTATTATGAAGATGAAGAAACAAAAAAGCACTGCGAGTAAGAAAGAAACACAAAAAACAAAAGAAGAATTGTTGCTAACTTTTATGAATATCAAAAAAAAACCAAAGACAAACAAATATTTTATACAAGACAATTTGTTGTTCACTGTGTGATGAGACAAATACATAAATAATATTAAGAGAAAGAGAGACCAAAAAAAAAGAAAAAAAGACCAAGACAACAACATCAAAAAGAAAAACGAAGATCATTGCTCAAGCACATCAACAACATTCGATTGAATGTTTAATTTAACTGATGTTGCAGTTACAGATTCGTCATCATTGGGAGCATGTGGTGATGTTCGACATGGTTCAAATGGTATTGTTTCATTTTCATGATTAGGACTACTTGTCATTTGATGATGTTCAATTGATGATAATGATGGGTCATTATTTGATGATGAGAATGGTTGCATTGGTGTTAAAAATGAAGATGATGGTGATGATGAACTATGTAATGATGGTAATGTTGAATCTAATTAAAATTAACAAAAAAAAATTTCATTTTATTTTTCAATAAAAAATAACTTACTAATCAATTTATTTTCTTGTTGTACATATGCTGTTTGTTTTTGTTGTAAATCAGTTGAAATTGATGGTGATAATGATGTTTGATCATCAGCAGTAAAATCTTCTTGTTCATCCTAAATAGAGAAAAAAAAATTTATGTAAAGATTTATTTTTAAAATTTAATGAATAACACATACCGGATTTGATGTTGATGTAAATGTCATTGTTGTTGAAGGATGTTCAGAAAGAAATCGTTGTAATGGTTGAATAGATGTCTGAGGAGTATTCGTCATTGACATCATACTAATAGGGAAAGAAAGAAATTTTTATATGTAAAATTAAAAAAATTATTATTATTTTTTCTAATATTACCGAACAATTGTTTCTGGATGTTGTTCAGTTGATACAGGTGATAATTTTGGAGGATATAAAGCATTTAAACGACTTTGTTTATAAACAAGAAAAGCTTGTTCTAATTCATCGAATTGTTTTCGTTCTTTACGCATTGCTGTTAATGTACGTGAATATTCTGTTTGTTGTTGAGATAAACGTGGCATTTCTTGTTCTTCTTCAGGTGTACATAAAGACTAAATATATACAAGAAAAATTTTTTATTTTTATATTAATAATATGATTTAATTTGGCTCAAGTAGAAAACATGTTCTGATTTACCTACTGCATGAATTTCAATTGACTACAAGATAACTATGGCATGGTTTACCTTAGGAACACTTACGTTCAAATTTCGATCTCAGACTTTGCCTAGAGATAGGTCTTTTCTCTGGAATAAGAACATCAAATCAGCTGGTATATTACATAAGCTTTTATTATAGCTGTATCTTAGGGTACGAACAATAAAATACTTTTAAGTTTTCACAATAAACTTTTCTCGGTAAGGCTATGGGCTACACAAAGTTTCAAGTCAAAATTTTGAAAATGAGTTTTCGTTGTGTTTCTGAGGGAGACCACAGTAGTGACTTTAAAATGCAGTAATTAGTATATTTGACCATTGATTTTAGAATATAGTTCGTGTTAGGTCGATCTCAGATCCAACTGGTTGAACCCTCCAGTTGTAAGAAAATCTGAATAACTTTAAGAGATCGATCTTAGGAACTATGTATCAAATATCTGGATTATTTTATTAGATTTTTCAGTCAAAGGATCAACTTTAATGAAAATAAAGATTTAATTAAGTGCAAATTTTTGTTGTTTATTTTTCTTACTTGTTTTTGTTTTTTAAGTAAAATATTTCTCTTTTTTTTAATATCTGCTAAATTTGTTTCATCAGCTTTGATTCTTAAACTATTTATTTCTCGTCGTTGTTTTAACCAACGAGCATAACGTTCAAATTGTTCTTCATTTATATTAGCATCAATTTTTGTTAAATCATTATCACGTCCAACACTAACAAGACCACTTAATTCTGGTGGTGGAGACTGTTGATATAATGGATGTGTTATAGCTTGTTGAAGAAGATGAACAGCATGTGCAAGTGTTAATGGTGTTTGTTGTGTTGTAGAATTTGTTGAAGATTTTGTATTACGTTCAACTGTCCATTCATTTGAAGTAGATGATTGTTGTTGTTGTTGTTGTTGTTGCTGTTGTTGCTGCTGTTGTTGTTTATCTTTGAAATCTCGTTCGAGTAAATCTTCAAGGGAAATTGATGGATCAGTGGACGATACAGCTAAATATATGAAGAATAATAAAAAAAATATAAAATGAAAATGATTTTGTTTATATTTAATAATCCCCATTTTCCCATATTTATAATTTTAAATACAAATGTCAGGCTCAAGCAAAACGGCAATAATAATTGTAAACTAATTAGTTTTTTTTTCGGATGGAGCAGCATGAGCAAATAGCTTTCGAGTTGCTTTTTTTTTGGTCGATTTTCATTTTATTACTTTGGACTCACCATCGCCATTTACGGCGATTGTCATTATTGTTGGATGTGAAAATAGATCTGTTATGATTGAATCGAATCGAAAAAAGGAAAAATAAAATGTTTTATTCACTTACCAAGAAAATGACTATCACTTTGTTGATGTTGATTCATTGGCCAAGCACGTTTTATTTGTATCGGTGTTTGTGATACATTTGTTTGTTGTTGTTCATGTGGTGATGATGCTAAAATAGATGATATACGTTCAGCAACAATTTGTTGTTGTTCCGGATGTGGTACACCAGCTGTATTAATAACATTTGTTGTTGCTGGTAAAAGATCATGATGATGTTGTTGTTGTTGTGAATGATAATGTGTATATGATGGTGGACCACGCATAGCAGCTATATTTAATGTTGGTTGTTGTTGATAATTAGACCATTCATGTATTTGTTGTTGTTGTTGAACATATGGATGATGAGTTGTAATCATATGTTGAGGTTGAATTTTAGATTGAGTTAATGGAACTATTTGAACAGGTGTGGATGGTGGATGAGTGTTAGAAGATACTTCATGAGGAATCATACCGGCACCGGAAATAACATCGCTTATAACTTCATCGATTTGTTCAAGAACATGAGGTGGTACAGCTAAAAGTTAGAAAATTCTTAGATTGAATCAATTAAGATTATTGTATTGAGTGGGAACAAAATTTCCAATATTGAATATCACACAGTAGGAAATACTAAAGAAGTTACAACTTGTCCAATAAAATAGTTGTTACAATCTTGGATACGGACAATTCTGGCGTTCTAATTGTCTTGAATCATCTCTGTATATTTATATTTTATCGTATATGAAATGTTGATTGATACAGCCGTATTCATAAATATTTCGTTTCATAACTGTCTATCGATACGACAGAAAGAAAAAAATTCTTGCATTCTGCTTGTCATCAACCTGAAGACAGTAATATTTAAGAGGTTATCGAGAAGTTAAACTCATAAACGAAGACCTGAAAAACTCATACCATTCTAGACTTTTCTATTATTCATCAAATGAAGATCATGTCCATGGAAAAGCAATTTGACTCCTGAAGAGACTCTAGTGTTAGTCATTTTTAAGATTTAGACATGTGAAATTTGAATTTATAGACTAATTTAGAAATGTAGGTCAGTAAGACCAGCTTGCTAGAGTTTAAAGAGAAGTTATGATCCATAACAATACTTCTTACTATGAGTCCTGCGGCTTAAAACAGTAAAATAAGTTGGCGAACATAACATTATCTGGTATTAGATCCTAAACTGCTTACCTTCTTGATCTATAGAATTCATAGTGAAAAGAGCTATCGAATATTTTAACTTTCCTTGAACTCAAACACTCAAGACCAGGTCGAGCTCGTTAGCTTACACGTTTAAGGTAGCACATCTGCTAAAAATTTCAGATGTATAGTCTTAAGAACGACAAAAATACATAGTAGTGTATTTCTTGATTGAGGGTAAGAATAATTCATTGAAAGATTAATGAAATTTTTGAAGTAAAAAAAACAAAATTGAATATTAGATATTTCTTTTTCGACTTACATTGATATGGATCAGCACGAATTTTACTTGTATTGATTGATTCATTTAATGAATCATCATGTACTTCAGTTTTAATTTGTTGTTCATCATATGACACTGTTTCATGTTTAACAAGTAATTGTTGTTGTGGTGGTTTTTGCATTTGTATTTGTCGTTTATTAGGATCATTTGGTGGTGATTGATGACCACTTGTTGTTGTTAATGTTAATTGATGATGATGAACAGATGAGGGAGAAAATTGTGGTGGTGGTGGTTGAACAACAATTGTTGGTGAATGTTGTGTTTGTTGTGAATGTGGATGATGCATTGATTGTTGCTGTTGAGATGAATATGGAGACATATGAAGTTGTTGCTGTTGTTGTTGCATAGCCATTGGATGTTGTTGAGGATTTGGTGTCATTGGATGATGATGAGGACTAAATTGAGGTGATAATTGATGTTGTTGTTGCATATGTTGATGAGCTGGACTTTCAGACTAAACAAAACCAAAAGAGACAAGAAATTTATATTGAATGAATAAAATTTTCTAAAATAGATAATACCATTCTTTGAAATGTTTCATTTGTTCCTTGTTGTACAACAACAGTATGTTGTCCTTGTCCTTGTTGTGTATATTGCACATAATGTGTTGTTTGTTGTTGTGTTTGTTGATTAGGTGGTGATGCAAATATAAATCTTGTTGGTTGACCAGGAGCACCTGCTGATGATGGTGTACGAACAAAATTAGTTGTATCTTGTTGTGGAAATCTTGGCATTATTTGTTGTGGTCTTGGTGTCATACCACGGGGTAATAATTGTTGTTGCTGTTGCTGTGGTTTCATTTGATTTTGATTTGTATATGGTGATTGTTGTTGATGATATGGAGATGTTTCATCCATAGGCGATACATGATGATATGGTGTTGTAGCATCTGATGATGAAGTTGATTTACGTATTGGATTTGTATTTGTTGTTGTATTCGAATGAAGAATAGGTGTTGATTCAGTTGATGATGTTTGATGAGGTACAGGACGTGGTGTTGATGGTGTATATTCAAAATAAGGTGAATTTTGAGATTGTTGTTGTTGTTGTTGCTGCTGTGGTTGTACTTGTTGTTGTGGTGGAAAATTAAATCGTTGTTGTGGTGGATAACCAGTGGGTGCAGAAACCGATGTATTATATCTATGAAAGATATTAAATTTTTTATTCTGAACTTGATCATAAAAGCCTATGGAAGCGAATCCTTCTAAAGTTTCAATAGTCTCACGGAGCTTTTCTTTGTAGGCCTTATATAAGATGAAACAGCGAGTGTTAGTTTGGATAGTTTTCTCCTGAGTGAGACTACATAAAACAAACATATGAACAGAGATGGTAAATGAATATGATGCACAATATACAAAGATGAAAGATTAATAGTGATACTTTTAAAACAAAAGGAAAGATATTCAGTTAATTCTACACAAAATCTTACCCTTGTTGTTGTGGTCTTTGCATTTGTTGTTGTTGTGTTGCATAAGGTTGATGATGAAAATTCGTAGGATTATTTGGTGTTGACACCATTAAATTACTACTTCCAGGTGAATACATTTGTCTTGATTGTTGATAAATATGTGTGGTTGTTGGATGTTCTTGATGTTCATTTGGATGAACAACAACTGTTGTTGTTGCTGCTGCTGTTGTTGTTTCATTTGTTGTTGATGATGATGGTGTTGATGAACGACTTTCACTACCAGCTCCAATATCATTATTATTATCTTCAGGTTCACTTGATTGTTGTTTTGAAGAATTTTTTCTTTTTGTACCTTTTGATGTTGTTGATGATTGACTTGTTGTACTTTTTAATGCACGTCGTTTTGTTCGATTAAGACGTGCTCGTTGAGTGTAAGTTTGTTTAGCATCTGTTGGAACTTTACGCCAAATTTTTTTCATTTGTTTAAATCGTTCATTGAAATCTTAAGAAAAACAAATTAAACATAAAAAAGTTTTTTTTTTCTTCTGTACGAAATAAAGTTTTAAAAAATCATAGAAATAATAATAAAAATAATAATTCTGTTTTCCCTTGAACTTTACTCACACTGAGGTATATAATGAAATACTGAAATAAATATGCTTTAGAATAAACGAAACAACCACAAAATAATTTCATTAATTATCTTACCAGGAAATTGTTGTTTCAATTCAGGATGATGAAGATTACAATAAAGAACATTTGACATTGTTGCATTTGTTCCTAATGTTTCATCTTCACGTGTTCGTTCCATTAAATTTGTATGTTCACCAGTTGTTGATCCTGATCGATCTTGTGTTGGAGTTGTACTAGCTGGTGTTGGTGTTGGTGTTGGTGTTGATGTTGTTGGCATTAATGGCATACGTAACATTGTCTGTTGTTGAGACCAATTTTGTTGTTGTTGAGATATCATTAATGGACTTTGTTGATGTGTATGATCATGATATCTATGAAAAATTAATTAGTAGAAAATTCCAAATAAACAAATTTAAAAATTAAACTAAGATAATGTTGAAATATTAAGTTTGTTTTTTTTTCACAAAAATTCGAATAGAAAGAATGAATTCTTTTTCATATAGATCATACTATACAGTCTTTTGTTTGAATTTTCTTCTGGAGAGATTAATTAGAAATTAGAACGAGAGAATAACTATTTGCAAGATAAAAGAAAGCACACCTTCGTCTTTAGACCAACTTCCGGTATGAAATACTCCCTAGTGATGCTAGAGTTTGGCGGCTACAAAAACTACCTGGAATTGTTAAATTATCAGATAGATACTTTCGGTTCATAATATTTTTGAAACCGCTGAACTCAAACGATTGCATTTGATAGCCCAATGTTTTGCGTATAGTTATGAACAGCTGTAAATGTGTAGAGTTCTAGCACTCCTTTCATACACATTTTTAAAGTCGTATGATTCCATGATGTTTTCAAAAAAGACGTACTCAGTGGTTTCACATTTTTTTTCAACTTGAAAATATATTATTAAAATTGTCATTTAAAATTCGAAAATATTTATCGAGCGGGTCCGAATTCCAATCGAGCTCACAAAAAAATTTTGTAATCGGAATTGAATATTCGTCCTGAAGAAACGCGATAATATTCTCTAGCTTTTTGTATTGAATAACAAGTGCATCCTACATATTTTTCAGACGACTAGAGCTCATCGTATTTAAAATTTTCCAATCTGGATCTTAGCGAAGCTTCGTCCAATCTAGATGAAATTTTCTTTAGTTCTGTTTGTCAAACCGTATAATAATTTTCTAGCCGAAAGTAAACAAAAGTGTCATGTACCGATGAATTTTTTTCTTCTTTCTATATTCATCGGAATGGAAAAACAAAGAAAATAACAAAAGTTTCTTTAGTACAAATAATGATTGTTTTATAAACTTACTCTTGTTTAACAATAAGACCAGCACTTTGAATATTTGTTTGTGATAGAATTGAAGATGTTGTTGTCGTATGTAAACCAGTTGATTCCATCATTTCTCTTGCTAAATTATTAATAATTTGTTTTGAATTATCATTAACATTTGTTGCCATAACAACAAGATTTGATGTAGGTGTTGCCAATGGTACTTGAGTATTTGTTGAATGATGAGATGATGTTGTTGAAGTTATCATTGTTGTTTGATGAGATTGTATAACTTGTACAGGATTATTTGTATTTGATATAGAAGGATTTTGATTCGTTGAATTTGAATTATTAAGAAGATCAACAGCTAAAAAACAAAAGAAAAAATGGTATAAAAAAAAAAATTTGTTTTTGTTCTACCTTGTAATTCATTATGTGTTTCAGGATGTTCAATAAATTCAAGAAAATCTTCAATATCAGTTGGACCACCTAGATAACAACGAAAGAAAAAAACATAGTTTTGTTTAATAATTTAATTAATAATATAAAGATATACAAAGTGGTAACATTGGATCTTGTGTTGCTTTTGAACTACTCATCATATATTCAACAAAATTACAAAATTCTTCATTATCTAAAATAGCTTCTAAGAAAGAAAAATATATATATATATATATGTATAAAAATTTAAAGAAATTTTATTTCATACGCATATCATTTTCATCCTCAGTTGTTGGTATAGTTGGTGGTGGTTGAAGAGAATTTGTTGGAGTTGGTAAAGGTGCAATTGGTGGTGGTGGTGGTGGTTGTTGTTGTTGCTGTCGTTGTTCTTCTTTAACAGCTAAAGCTAATTTAGTGGCTTTCTTTATTAAAAATCGATTAACTGTATCATGATCTAATTTAATTGTATATTCATTATTATTATTACTATTAATTGTTGTTTCATTATTTAATTGTAATGGTACAATAGGTATATGATTTTGTGCCATAAGACGACTTTTTTCAGCGAGATCACTACCAAAAAATGCTTCTTGCATTTCTGGTGGCATATATTCTTCAAGAACACTTTTCTTTTTTAATGGACGACGATCACGTTTACGTTTATTTGTTGTTGATGTAGATTCATCATGAATATTATCATCTTGACCAATATCAGTTGTTAATGATGAAAGATCTTGACGACGACGTTGACCACGAATTTTAACATGAAAACCACCAATACCTAAAATTAGTTTATGACAAAAAAAAATAATATCGTTTGTTTTAATCTTACCCGTATAACCTTTGGCTGCTTTTGCAGTTGGTACCGTAGCAGTTGTTTTCTTTGTTCCTTCATCATCACTTGTACCACTTCCACCACCAGTTGCACTATTACCCATCATATCATCATCTTGTATAGAATTTGAATTATTTCGTTTAACACCACCCATAATATAATTTGCTAGACCACCACGTTTTGATTTTGTATTTGTTGTTATAGATGTTCCAGCTGTTGATTTTTTTGGTAATGGTTTAACACGAATTGATTTTAATTGTGCTAAACCAGTATCAGTTAAATAAACACCTTCATCTAATTTTGTTGCTTTTGGTGTTGGTAATTGTGGTTGTGTTGGTGTTGGTGTTAGTGTTGCTGTAGCTGTTGTTGTTGTTGTTGTTGTTGTTGTTGAATTTGTTGCAACAACTAATAATGGTGCTTGATCAGATGGTGATGAAGATTTTGGTGATGATGATGATGGTAATATTTCATTTGTTGATGTTAATGTTGCTGTTGGTCGACATAATGAACATATAAAATCGCCTGTTGTTGATAATGTTGAATCTTCAGATAAAATATGTTCACATGAACCATGTAACCAACGTTCACATAATGTACATTGTACAATAAGTTCATCGGTTCGATAAGGTTTAGAACAAGCAGGACATATAACAAGTGAATGACATGGTGCACATTCAGTATAATTATTTTCCCATAAACAACATGAACCAACTGGGCCTGGATTTGTTGAACCACATTTAAGACAACGAACACACCTAAATGAAGAACAATATTTAAGAGTTATTTTACGTAAGACATAATCATCGATTTGAATAGTTTTTATATATATTATAGTGACAAGTGTTTAATAAATTTCAAAGGAAGCCACTCGTTCTCGAACTGTATCTCATCATCGGTTTGAGTACCTACCGTACAAAAAGAGAGATCTCAATGCACTCTGTCGAGAAAAGTCAAAGCTATATGATTTGAAACAACATATTGAGTACAGTAAAGTTCTACAAGGAGCGACGTGAGAGAAGAACCTCTAAAATAGCTTCTACATCATGCTAAATATACTGAGATCGTTCATAAATTAACAGAAAACTTTTTATGCATGGAATAATTTTTTTGATTCAGTATAAATTAGCACATGATCTGCTATACATCGCTTGTTCGAAAATGATAAAAATTTTTTGACTCTCAAACAGTGAAAAATCATCTTTAAAGCAATCTCATATGTTAATTTACAGTAGATAAACAATTGTTCCACATATAGAAAATTTTCTGTTCATTCTTGACCAATTTCAATATATCAAGCATGAAACAGAAGTCATTTTAAGGCTCCAGTAAACAATGTATAGTTTAAAATTCATACAATATCGACTTCTATAGACTAAATTTTCCTCTAGATCTACTTCTCCTAAAATCATAATTTTGACGAAGATCTCCTGAACAACATTAACTATCCCGAAGACTGAAATTTTTACTAGAATAAATACGCATTTACATTTCTCTTCAAATGATATCTTTTCGCTATAACATATATAAAAACTATCCAAATTGACGATCTTCTATTAAACAACTCAGGTCATTACTTACGTAGAATGACATTTAAGAATATTTTTATTGAAAAAAAAAAGAAATTTGTTTCTACACTTGAGGAAGAGTTTACATTCCTAATTATCTGAAGGCCTCCGAAGAATGCAGAATATGTATATTATTCCTCATTAAAGGTAGAGAGCCATCTATTGTATCAGATTGCTCTCCATAGGAGATGAGGTTAGATATAAGTAAGATTCGAACCTTGAACCTTTCATATACAATGTTATTAATCAATTCGATTAAAATATTTCATTTTTCTTACCATTGACATTTCCAATTGCCTTTTGGTACTTGATCAAGTGGTGGTTGTAAACAATATGTATGATAAGATATATCACAATCATCACATAATAATAAACGAGATTCATCTGTTGGTTTACCACAACCTTCACATACAGTACAATCCAAACAACGCCATCCTTGTTTTAATATAACTTTTGATAACTAAATATATTTAATATTAAACAATAAAATTCATTTTTAAATAAATAAATATTTCATTTTACTTTATTTAATCCAGCACAATATGAATGATAAGATTGTCCACATTGTGTACATGATATTAAACGTCCTTCTTCATCTAAACCAAAACTTCCACAACTAACACACATATCTTGTCCTAATGTATATAATTCATCAGTTGAACAAAGTACAGTTACAGCATGATGTTCATCATCATCACGTTTAACAGCTCCAACTGTATATGAACTACCTGTACTACCACCACTTGTATTTAATACATTCATTGGTGTTATTGATGTTTCATCAATATTCTATTTACAAATATTTAAAAAAAAAATATTTTCTTTTGAGCGAATAAAAAGAAGTATGAAATAAAATTACTGATGGTTGAATAGGAATTTCTTTTCGAATTTTTGGTGGACGACCACGACAACCAGTACCAGCTGTTGTACCTGTACGTGGTGGATTTGTACCAGTTAATTGAGTTACACCAGTTGATGATTGTGGTGATGATGCACGACGATGACCATTATTTAATGTCTATGAAAAAAAAAAAAATATCAATTCTTTTGAAAAAAAAATATACAAAAATATTTACTCGTCTAGCTCGTTTTTTACTTATTTCCCCAGCATATGAACGATTTTCAAAAACAGGTTTTCCTTTACCAGATTTTTGACTTGTTTGTGTACGTAAAGATTTAATTGGTTGTTGTAATACAGGTTGTTCATCATCTTCTTGTTTTATTGGTATATTTATTGTTGTTGATATAGGTAAATCCATTGAATGTTCAGATGATTCATCTTTTATACTTGATAAGGATTCAAATATAAATGGAGTTTCTTGTTGTGGAATATTTGTTATTGGTGTTGACATTTCATTACTATCACCACCACCGGGTGTATATTCAAGTGATGATTGTTGACTATAATCAATACTACGACGTTTACGAGTTGATATACCACTACTTGGTGACGTTGTAGGTGAATTCTAAAGAATATTAATTTAATCAGAATGTTTATTTTTCAAAAAAAAAATCAAAAAAGAACAAAAAAACGAATCTCTCTAATCTAGACATTATCAACGATTTTTTTTTTAAATTTCTTTTATGAATAATCACATGATGATTATATGTTACTTGTTATTAACACAAAACAAATAAGAGGCTACATCAAATATTGTTACTATTGTCTTGTATTTCTTTTAAATTATGCACCATTAACCCATCACCTATTGATTCGTGTCTCACGATTGTTTATCATGAGACAATACACGCATAACATCATTTTTTTTTCTCATTCACTATATAAGTCAAAAGAGCATGTGTGATCCGAACAACAGAGGCCGCTATAATTCATACGACAGAAAATAAATGTCCACTGCTTGGAATATAAGAGGTATTATATTAGCTCAGAGGCCAAATCGAGTCGAGTTTTTGCTCATTCGATGGTGTGAATGTCTTATCCAACACCCTACACTTTTTGAAAGATTTGTTAGTCTTTGAAAATGGTCGTTCACACATACGGATAGATTCTTCATCTTTATTTATTTCTCTTGAGTTTGAATATGATTACATTATTCTGTTAAATACGAATATTTTTAAAAACAAACTTACACTTGATTTTTGTGATTTACTTAATAATCTATTCATTTTAGAATTTGATGATGAACGATAAATTTCTTTATGTTGTCCATCATCATCATCATCATCTCGATCATCCATAGGTAATGTTGTTATAGATGATATTGAACATGATCTACACATATATGCTGTATCATCATCATAATAATCATCATTTATTGAATGACATATTGAATGTACACGTATTTGACATACATGACATTGACGTATATTTTGTTTTGATAAAATTTCATTTTGACATAATGAACAAATAGATTTTGATGATGAATTTTTATTTGTTAATGATAAACAACTTGAACAACTCCAACCATCTTTTGGTATTGATTGATTACGTAAACAAAATGTATGATAACCTTTATCACATACATTACACATAATCATTTCAGCATCATCACCTGATTGTCGACATGTTTGACAAATTTTACAATCAGGACAACGCCAACCTGTACGTACAACACGATTTGATTCAAGCATAAGACATTCAGCATGATAATGTTTATCACAATTTGTACAAAATAATTGTCCACGAACATCACCAGGTTCTGAACATGCTTCACATGATGATGATTCAACACCAACTAATAACCCAGCAAAAAAATAAAAAATAAAAAATAAAAAAAAATAATGATTATCTTACAAATCGATACAACTATATCTAAATGTTGTGGACAAAGTAATGTCAATTGTGAATGTGAAAAAAAACAACCCGATGATTGTGCACATGGTAAATGAAATTTTAATGAACATGATTCATTTCGACAAGAAAGTGAAGCTCCATAACGATCACATATTGTACATTTCTAAATAAATATAATAAAATCAAAATGTAAAACAATATGACTTTTTAAATTTCTCTTATCGAATGACATTTTACATCTAGACAGACAGACTTTCAATAATATAGCAAAAATAATGTTACTCTTAACTGTACCTGCTTATAGGTTTAGCGGTCATAAGGATAAAACAAAAAACATTTAGATTATTTATTTTTCTTCTTTTTTTTTCGATACATCAAGCTGAAATTGTCTGTAAATCGAAAGTGCATGTTGTTGTTACTTGTAAAAAAGAAAAATAGCCATTGGCGCAATCCTTTCAGGTTCAAAATGAACTTTACTTGCAGGATTCAAATATGAGGCACGATTTAGTTGATGTTACTAATCAAAATTCCTTCAGAAACGCAATACACACGGTGATGGCCGTTGGCTAGTGTCCCTGATGATTAGAAAATATAGATTTTCCTTTCTCTAGCAGACGTTCAAATAAAATGTCATCGCAAGAGAACTTAAGTTTATGAAAGCATGATATTTTAGCAAGGTTCAATTTTTATAAGAAATTATCTAATTAAAATCGATTCTGTTGAATCATTTCACAAATGTAAATAAATACAACGAGACAAACAAGCAATAATAATTGTTGACATCTGCAATGAATGTTTACATCACTTGACAGACATTTTCAAAGAATTTCTCTCTCTGTTGCACAATTCAATGATGCATAAAACATTAGAATATTTTTCCTATTTACTATAATTACAAAAAAAGAAAAAGAAAAGAAAAGAAAATGATATTATTTATTCTTATTCACCTGTTTAATTGCATCAATAATGGCTGTTCGAATAAGATCATAATCATTTATTTTTTCTATATTGCCTAATGACCATTTGACACATCTTTCATGTACCCAAATATTTCCATTTAATATAACATCGGATGATGTTTGAAAACCAATATTAAATAATTCTGAATCAACAGGAACTATAATTTTTCCAGTTTCTAATATAAAATTATTTCTTTTTTCAATTGGAATATTTCTAATTATGAAAAAAAGAAAAAAAGAATTAAAAAAAAAAAAAGAAGTACAATTAAATTATGATTTACTCAAGAGTTCGAGGTGTAGAATTAATTATTATTTGGGATTGATCCGACGGAGAACGAATTAAAATTAAATCACCTTGACCAAGACTACAGGATGATGGACAATTACAAAATAAACAAATTGGAATATTAGTTAAAGAAGAAGTCATTGAAGATTTGAAAACACAAAACAAAACCAGAGAAAAGAAAGCACACAAAAATAGTAAATTATATCAAATGACAATTATATGAAATAGTGGTGGATAATTAAATATTTCTTCATTTCCACCCTATAAAATAAAAAAAAAAACAACAACAAATGTTAATTTAGAAGAGAAAATTCATTTCTTTTTTTTTTTTTTCTGTTAACTTACACTGTTCATATGAGCCTCATTTTTGTCTCATTTGAAAAAATAACAAAATACCAAAAGAAAATTATGAATATAATAAGAGAGACAATATCTAGAAATATAAGAGAAAAATCATTCAACCATGCAATAAGTTCGATGTTGAAAAGGATTCACTTAAGAAAACAAAGAAAGAACACTATGGCGGCCATTTTCCGACGTCTATCCTTTTCTCCAGAACGAAGCGGAGGAGAGAAACAACAACGACCAATGGTCAATAAGATTTAACCAATGAAATTTTTATCATTATAGATGGCGTTAGTTATCCAGCATAGATTATTTTCTTATCTATAACAGCTATGAAATGTCAACAAAAATTTTAAAATTCAGATCTGAAAGCAAACCGACGAGCTCTATCATTTAGTGTTTTTTTTTTGTATTAGCTCAATGAGATTTCATCTAACTGAACATTTGAAAAACAATACAGATTAATTCTTTAACGAACGGATTCTTTTTTAATCGAAAGCTAGTTTTTTTTCCATCGCTGAGAAGGACTACATAAAAGTCTTGTGATAACAAAAAAAAAACACAAATTTTCTCATCTTTTAAATATTAGAAACTCTAAGTTTAGGATTTCATGTTTTTTAATATTAGAAACAGTGTTAATCGGTTAATAAGAATAAAAACGTATATATATATAAGCTTAATCAAGAGTGAAAATATTCTAGAAAAACAATAGATCAGAAGAAAAGAAAAAATTTATGACATCATTGTATAGAGGCAAAAAGAACGAAGAACATTGGAAAAGAATCTACGGTAAAATCTCTCTAATATGGACACTATTGGGATTGAACAAACGAGTTCACTTTACGCAGATGCTCAATATTGAGAGATCTTTATTTTCTTTTGACAATTTTCATCAATTTAGTTTTTTAATTAGAGGTCAATTAATACGTATTGACATGATTTAATATTATTAACTGTCAATAAAAAAAAATAGACAAAAAGTTATATCAAACACTATTGCTACTGTCTAATATTGGTTTTTTCTCTTTTTGAAATATGCACGGTTATTCTATCTTCTTTTTACGTGTGTTCAATATTGTTTCTATCAATAAAATGATTGCAATTTGTTGACACTAGTGTATCATATACAGTTGATCATTAAGCTCAAAGCTCATTATCTCCATGACGTATTTATCAAAAAAGAAGATGAACATATTTTTCTAAAATTTTTGATTTATGAGTTTTTCAAGCTATGATGAAAGCGAAATGAGTCAAAGAATTATTTTGGTTTTCTTGAACTCTTCAATAAGGTTTCTAAGTTTTTTGGTATGTGATCTATATGAATTTCAGATGAAAAGTATACCAAAAACTAATGAATATATTTTACTTGTGAAAATAGTATCAAAATTACTTAGAACGAAGTGTCTTATTAGACAAAGTACAAACTAATTGAAGATCCATTATCGGCGACCACGCCCTAGCTAGTTCATTTTGGCATTTTCTTTCTGTTGTTTTTGCTTATGAAAATCGTTTCTTTCTCGATCTCTTTCCTATATATATCGAATACTCATTTGATAAGAAGAATACATTATTCTTTAAGGTAAGATGACGAGTAGTTGACAGTGCTTATCTTTATTGGAGAACAAATAAAATACTGGGTATTTTTTTTGTAAACGCTCAGTACAGGCTGTTAGTGAAAAAATCAAACTATTAGCATAGAATTTTTTCTTTGAAAACAATTTGGTGTAAATAGATGAATGAATCTTCACGTTCACTGATGATGACGTCATCAGGCAAACGAATTTCCTGGTATATTATATCTAATTTCGTTTTGAAATGATAACAACGATGGAAATCGTTGAATCAACAGTTTATTTTTCTTACAAGGAGATAAAGACAAATAAAACTGTAAATAATAATAGACATTAATAAAAAGCATTAGTGATGCACTAAACTTTTGCTAATTACAATTATACTATTTTTATTGATATAAATAAATAATAAACTGAACAAATTTAAATTAAAAAAATTGATTCTCTTTAAATTAATTACTATGCTAAAACTAATTTTTTTACTGAACAAAAATTATCAAGCATTTGGTAAAAAAGACATTGAGAACAATTAAATACATGCCTTTTTATTTTGCTCTCTCTCGCTCTCACTTAAATTTTTTTCCAATCTAACAGTTCATAATTCTGGAAGTTATTTGAATCGGAATGAAAATGTTCATATGTGGTGCAATGTTTAAATGAAGTTGGAGTTTTCTTTTTGGTTAGTGCTCATCTATAGTATACAGCTTTGTCCCATGTTTTTCTTCCCGTTCTCTCACGAAGAACTTTTTTTATTCCGTGTGGGAATATTCCCACTCAATGCCATCTCAATATATAATGAGATGTTTTGTTAATTTGTTTTATTATTTAGTTCTTTATCATTTGTTAATAAGTTAATTATTTACAAGTATTCTGTAACGTTCGGTTTGATGACGTAACAATAACAGACTAAAGTACAATTGGATGAAAGGTTCATTTTCGAATTGTTATTTTCTCTTTCAGATAAAATACGATTCGTTGGTATCTACCTATTTTTGACCATTTGTTCAATTTACAAGTCTGTATATTATGTAAGTTTTCGATTACAATGATCGATGAGATAAACATCACTTAAAGAAGAAGGTACCGATTGGATGTATAGGGCCTATTCTACTACATGTTGAAATTTAAAATAAATCAATCAATCAGTGACGCTAAAAATTTCAATCCCAGGATAGATTCTATATTCAGACTTGCTTTGCAAAGCGATTTACTTTTTATCAAATGATTTAAATTATTTTTCGATTATATGAAGGCAAGGAAAAGCGAAAAAAAGCTTTTTGATGAGAAATATGTAAATCGTCAACCACGTCATTGTTTCATAAAAATAAAAAATATTGAGAATCTTGTAGCTGTCAATAATGGATCAATAAAGACTCAGTGAAAGTCAACACATTTTGAACATCAATATTTCATTCCTAATAATCAGCTCTCCACCACGACTACTTAAAATGCTTGCACTTTTTTAAGCCTTTCAAAGATTTCCTTTTATACATAATTGCTACTAGTATAGTTCCTTTTCAAGAAGAACTTTCGAACAGATATAACCAGGTCGAACGTGCGATTCGCAGGAACCATCATGAACTAACCGAAAAATGACAAAAACATAACGGAACCACTCGGTTTCGTTCTGTTCCAATCGAATGGCGATGAGCTGCCGTATACATCTCTTGACTTGAACATATGCAAAAAGTTTCATGGTTGTTAATTTGAACTGACAGAGAGCCGGTAAATTTTGAGTATCTCCCCTTTTTTTTTGTATTCAGTTGTGCTGAGGAAGTCCTACTCTCTATGAAAATTTTTGCAACAGTGTGTGTGTTGGATTAGAAATAAAATCCAACTGTAGTAGAAGTGTTTTCTTTTGTCAATTTTAGTAAGACACTATGCAACAAACAGTAGAATCTACTACAATGAATTGGAGCTTCTCGAATCTTTCTGATATAATCAACTCGTAGCGGGAATCACCGAAGCAATTATAAGCATTGTCGTTCGTTCTTATGATATCATCAATGGCAATGGAGATGCATTCGATGCTATCATTGACATCGTCGTGAGCATTGCCAAGTTGGCACCACTGACTGGAGCTAGTAACGCCGAATCCATTAAAAACAAGGTATGTACAGTCTAATTTTATTTCTAATTCTCGCAACTGATTGAAAATGCTATTTGTGCATTTCGAATTATGCTTGTTTATGTGGGGACTTTTGCAAATATTTTAATTTATATAATATTTAGCGAACTCAACTACAGTTCAGAAATTCTGTGAATTCTATTTTTCAGGTGCAAAGCGGATGTAATGCTGTATCGTCAACAAGAAAAGCATTTGAAACAATGGGAAAAAATCCGGATACGATCGAAATCATCCACAAGTTGGGCGATATCGAGCGTGCTTTTGATAGTTGGTTTGCATTAAAGAAGGAAGTTAGCAATGGTTCTTGCCTTGTGAGCTAGAAAGTATCTTGGAACGTTAGAAAAAATATTTTATAGAACTTTTTAAAGTATTTTTTTTTGTAATTTTCTGAATACGTCGTGTTGTTACAAAAAATAAACTAGAGCACTCATCAGCGTGACAAGTCTAATGCAAAAACTTCTGAATCTCATGTAAAAGATATAGTCAAAAGATGAGATTATATTTGATGCTCCGACAATAGTCACAAAAAATCGATTAAAAACACCTTATTTTGATTAAGTTTAACGAACTAATACATTAAAATAGATTTTGTTAGCCACATATGTATTATTAGTCGATCATACTCAATAATGAAATAAAACCAAATTTTCATCGCTTATTCTGTTTAATTTCGACTATAATCGATTAAATTTTGATAAAGATAGTGACGGACATAAAAGAATATTGGTTAAAGATCATAATATTCGTTGTTAAGAATCAGTTAAAACGATGTTGTTTGCATAGATTTTTGAGTGACTGTAATCGAACGTGATCAGCGTAATCCAGGGTATTGTGAAGTGTTGGAATATTGTTGATAAAACTCGTTCACACAATACAATAAAGGATGCATTTCAAGTTTTATAGATAGAAATCTTTGCTTATTTTTTATGGTTTTTGTCTATCAATAAGGTCATTTTCATCTTTCTGAGTTAATCATTGAGTTTCAATTTCTACCCTTTCTCTTGTTTTGATTGAAAGAATGAACAAAAAACTAAAACGTTTCGGGTAAAGTGTCTGATATGTCTGAAAAATTTAACGCTTGAAATGAAATATGTGTT